ATGGGAAGGTGCAACACTGTATTCTTCCCAGTCAAGCATTCACTGAGACACTCTCCCAACTCTCACGGAACTTGCTGGAGAGTCGGAGAACCAAGATGGCCCCTAAGGAACTTAAGGCCTATCATCTCACACCTGTCAGAATGGCTATTGTCAGCAAGACAAAGATAACTATTGGCAAGGAAGTGGCAAAAAGGGAACACTGTACACTGTTGATGGGAATGTGAATAATGTAAATTATTGGATTGTTGGAAAAGTCATGATACATTTTTGCATAGAAAAACACACCATGACTTTTCTGACGACCCAATAGTACAACCATTATGGAAAACAGTATAGATACTTCTCAAAACATTAGAAATAGAACTACCATATGCTCCACTATTGTGTATCTATCTAAAGGTCATTAAGTCAGTTTGTCGAAGAGATGTATGCATCTTCATGTTTATTGCATCACTATTTACAATAGACAAAATACTAAAAATCTGAGGTGTTCATCAACAGGTGAATGAATAAAGAAAATGTGGTGTATATGTAAAATAGAGTACCATTCAGCCTTAAAAATCCTGTCATTTGTGACACGATGGATGAACCTGAAGGGTATTATTTTAAGTGAAATAAGTCAGACACAGAAAGACAAATATCATATGATCTCACTTATATTATGGAATCTAAAGAAGTGAAACACATGGAAACGAAGAGAAGAATGGTGGTTACTAGAGGCTGGAGATAGGGGGTCAGGGAGATGCTGGTCAAAGGACACAAAATTTTAAAAGGAATAAGTTCAAGAGATCTATTATACATCATGATGGCGATAGTTAGTGAGATGTATTATATACTTGAGAATTGCTAACAGAGTAGATTTTAAGTGTTCTTACTACAAAAAACGATAAGTATGTGAGGTACTATATATGTTAATTAGCTTAATTTATCATGGAATATATTCATATTTTGAAGCATCCTGTTGTATACCATAAATATATACTTTTAGTTATCAATTAAAGCAAAAGGAAACTTAAAGCCAAACTTGGGGGTATACAATATAACTGATGATCAGATCAAAGAAAGAAGGGTTGAGGAATAGTCAATCAGAGCTTCTGGAAAGAGGAGGAAGTTCAGGTTTGGACAAAGAGTGGAGGGGGTGGGGGAGAGCATGTTGGGAGTGAAGAAGGGCATAAACAATGTCACACAGAGAAACACTGTGGGTAGGGCTTGATTCCAGGGCAGGGAAGAGGCCAGTCAGTCTCCTCAACCACTTCCTGTCTCTGTGTCTTTGCTTCTTCTGCTACCTGAAATGGTCTTTCCCACTTCATTTTCAATTTCCCTAGTGCAAAGAAAAGTTGACTCCATGGTGCCCTCACTGTACCCTCAACACTGTGCCCCACAGCATCCAGAAAGATAGGCTTACCCATTTGTTTATCTCTCCTAGATTACTAGCTGCTTTAGGGCAGGGGCATGTGTTATTTGTCCTCTTCTCCCTAGTCCTTGATACATATGGTTGAACAAATTAATGAGTGTATTCAATATTTATGGCCCATGATTTTTATCTCAGCTGGAAATGGGGAAGCAGAGGGGCAATGGGGCATCAATGTTTTGCTTTGACCATTGGGTCCCTGCTTCACATAAGGAGATTGTCCTAAACATTATGGGACATAGTTAGGATGGGTGAAATGTTTGTCCATCTTAAATATTTTATAATCTGAAAATGCCATATTGATCAGTGGTGGCCACAGGTAGGCCTGCATGTAGTGTGATACACTAGACTGGGTCAGAGACGAGGACGTAGGCATTAACAACTTAGAGATAGAACTTGACTCTTTGGGCACAGGGGCAGTCATGACATCAGGCCAAAACCCACATAGAGACCATGGACATATCTATTTAGAGATTTGATAAAGAAACAAAGTGGGGGCTAGCAGGTGGCATGGAAGTTAAGGTGTTGGACTCCTCCATGGCTGACTGCATTTCAAGTCCTAGATGTGGTGGCTTGAAAAATCACGTCAGGTGTGTGTGCACGTGTGTCCAAAATACCAGAAGGAGAGTGGAGGAGGAGGAATTGCGGTGCAGCACGGCCATCGCCCTTGGAGGGTGATTTTTCACTTTTTCTCTCTCTGTCTCATGCATGCACCCTATGACAAAAACCTAAAGAGAGAGAGAGAGAGAGAGAGAGAGAGAGAGAGAGAGTGTTGTAGGTCAATAACTTACAGAAGTCGGAAAGCTCATTGATTTAATTCAATAACAGTAATGGTTGGCATATGTTTGATGGAGGAAGGGAAGGTGTCCAGGGAGAATGAGAATCAGATGTGGCTGGAGAGTAAAGGAAATATTTTAGAATTCTGGGTAGTAGGAAGTAATGTGTTCTGATTGAGCATTAGTGAGTGAAATCTCCTTTTTCTGAGGATGAGGGCCTGCATAAGAGAAGAGATGTGGGGACACTAAAGAATGGAGGGGATGACAAGGACATGGGTGATGATTTGGTCTTTAGATAGTCAGAGGCTAAGTTTTCCACTCACCATGAGTCGTGGGAGTCTAGAGGTGAGATGATAGTTTTAGGAAGGATGGTCCTTTGTGTATTAGGGGCATCTGTGAAGGGTAGATTTCTGAAGGGGAGTTTCATGACTTAGACTGCAAGTAGAGGGCAGTGAGCTGCAGTGAGTGGCACGTGCACAATGTTAGTTTGGGAAGATGAATGGAGGAAGCAGGCTGTGGCCACGAGTCAGCAGGAGGATGGAAACGGAAGGTGGGAGTCTAAGGGTAAAGACAGATAGAGGCACACGAGGTTCCTGAAGAGGAAGTATAGTGGAGAAGGGGCTGACAATATCTGAATAAAGGATGATGGATTGAGTGATAAGAAGGCCCAGACAGACCGAAGAGTCGCTTTGGGGACTGTAGGGCAGAGGGAGTGAATAGGTAGCCAATAAGAAAATGATAAAGACGCCCTCAAATAGTGTGTTCCTGAAGCAAAGTTACAAAATGGGCAAAATCTGACTTATTGCTTCTTCACTTTCATACTTTTGGTCGTCTCCTAACCCACAAAACATCACACACTCATGTTTCATTCAATAAATATTGATCAAGCATCTGCTCTGTTAGCAAGTAGGAAGCCATGCACTGGGGATACAGAGATGAGCAGAAACAGACACATTCCTGACGTTATTGAGCTGCCGAGAAAAGCAAGGTTGAAGCTGAATGCAAGTTGTTTTGCTTTCTTCTCTTTAGAAAGAGAGATAAGTAAGCATTGTAGAGTTCCGCTGTAAAATAAAGCTGAAGGGTGAGAATTAATCTCTTGAGTCTGGTGTAGACTTGATAATTATAGAACAATATAGAAGAGTACCTAATTTTTTTAAAAAAATCAATTCTTTCTGAAAAGACAAGAACGGACCCCGTTTAACCTGGAAGTTTAATTAAGAGGCTTTTAGAACTCACTGAGTCATCATTCAAAAGGCCACATCCTGCTAAAATTTTATCTGTTTATTTTTAAATCAATATTGAATGAATTTGATATTCAGTTAGCAATGATATTGGGCATTTCGATGCATGCAAATCACAGAGACATCATCATTGTCAAGAAATTTGCAATTCGAGTGGATGGCAGCCTTTTGGCCCTAAGAACCAACGTGGGAGAACCTACCATGCTGTCCAGAGCCTATGGGCATCAACAAGGCTCATCCTGAATTCTGAGAATTAATACAAAATGGGTTACACTGTGCAAGGGAAAACATAGTAAAAAAAGAAATATTTCCAGGCCAGCAGTTGAAAGAGTTGCTGGTGAGGAGCAAAGAGAAGCAGGACAGGATAGCAGTGCCCTGGGGAACAGGAGCCTAGGTGCAGCTCTCTACTCCTGTGGACAGGCTAACGAGCAGCTTCTGCCCATCAGTTGTATGTAGCTTTCTTTCCAGGGAAGAATATTCTGGGCTTATCTCCATTGTTGGAGGTGCCATATTGCTTAACATAAACCCTTGTGGTATTAAACTAGTTTTTTACTTGATGTTCCTGTGAGTTCAGCTGGCCTGCATTAGCCTCTCACAGATCCAGGACATGGACAGAACCAGGTTTCTGAATCAGCAAAGCTGAAGACTGGCCCCCAACCTGTAATGGCTTCAGGAAGATCTTTTAGGCGCTGACCAGCTTGCCTTCTCCAGACAACTCCAGCCTCACCCTTTGGCAGAGCGTCCTAGAGAAGTTCCAGAAAAACTAAGAATGATCAGGTGAAGGCTCTATGTTCTTTAAACTTGTTACTAAAGTCAGTGAATGCTCCTGCCTCTCACACACCGTAGCTGCAGCAAAGAGTGTCTCAAAGTTGACAATCTTAGTTTTTCTGCTAACACTGCCACTGGATGACCTAAGTCAGTTAACTTCTCCAAGTTTCCATGTGCTCTTCCGTAAAAAACAAACTCCTACTACAGGATTGGAAGGAGATAACATGCATGAACAACGACGAATGTAAAACATGTGGCCCTGTGTTTGGGGTAAAACCGTAAGGTTCACTATTTACAGAAATACTTGGTAAAGAGACACGGAGAGGAAAAAGCCCCAAGACTTTTTCTTAGAGTGAGAAAGGAGGGAGGAGCGTGATATGATTAGATAATTCAGGCATGGAAGAAGATCTGCTGGAGCGAGGACAGGCACAAAGGTAGGGGCTCCTCAACAGCCCAGGACAGGTGTTAATGTCCCAGCCAATCCTGATGCACCTTGAAGTGGGCCGCCAAGTTTCTTTGCAGCTGGTAGAGTTTCAAATCAGGTAGCACCAGGAGAGGCGGGGGAATCATCACGGCCTGTCTCTTAGCTTGCTCTTGACTCCTCTTACCTCCTGGACCCAGCCGGCCTCCCAGTTGGGGTGGTTACTAAGTGCCAGAGCGTCCATGGCAACCGTCGTCCACAGAGTTTGCCTCCCCGCCTTGCAGCACAGTCTCTCGCTTCTCCTCTGACCGACCAATCGCCTCCCGGAGAACCGACCAGAGAGGTCGTTGAGTGGTCCGCGGACGCTGACGTCACAGATCAGAAAGGCGGGGTCTGAGCAGGACCTGTCGGGTCCGTGCTTAGTGGGCGGTAGGTGGTGGGGTTGCGACCCTTCCGTCTTACCGCCCACCCCTCGCCCGTGTCCTGCACCTGCAGACAGGTGAGTGCCTGGCCTTGGAATGATCCCTCCAAGGTTCCCCTTCTCCAGTGCGGGAGAAGGCGGGTAAACCCTAGAATTCCTACCCCCGTTGTGCCCCCCCCATCTTCACTTCTTTACCGCCCCCTTCTCCCCTAGTAGAATTGTTACAAACCGAGGCACCCCGTATGCAGTCCTCCATGCCTTCTTTTCCCTTTCCAAAGACGGAGCTATTACTTTAAATGCGGAACCAAAAAGGGGGCGTCTGAACCCTGGACACTGCTGCCTCCACAATTTAACACCTGTTAGCACTGCTGTGTGTTCTGCTGTGGTGATTTCTGACCCAAACACTATTCTTTGTTCCTCCTATTTTCTTAGCCAGGTCTTCCAGACGAGACAGATCACCTGGCCAAAGACATAGTTCCAGAAATTTCTATCAAGGCAGGTGTCCCCTCACTGCCCAAGGCCATTTGTGTTTCTGCTGCGAAGCTCTCACTGTATTTGGATATTTTAGACCAAGCCCCTTTATTTTTTCTCCTGGGTACTTGTGGCTGTGTAGATAAATAAACATTTTAGAAGTGGGTAAAATTTTTGTTTGATCATTGAGAATAAAGTTAAGCAAATAGTTTTACTTTCA